ACCCTCGGAAACCCTGTACAGGGTCGCTATGGGTCGGACCCGACTACTCGATGGCACTTAACAACAACAACAACATATCTATATCTATATCTATATCTATATCTATATCTATATCTATATCTATTGGAGTCCTGGTGGGGCACAGTAGGTTAATGCAAGGTCAGCAGTTCAAACCCACCAGCCCTATGCAGGGTCGTTATGAGTCTGAACCAACTTGACAGCACTTAACAGCAACAACATATATCTACACACACTATGGAGTTTCAATAAGTTTAAGGAAAAATGCAATTTAAAAATGAGATTTGTCCACGAATTTTTGAAGTCTCCCCTTGTGTGTATACATACCAAAACAAAACTCACTGTCATAAAGTCAATGGCAATTTGGAGCTCCCTGTATAGCATTTCTGAAACTGAGAATCTTTATGGGAGCAGACAGCCTCATCTTTTTTCCTCAGAATGACTAGTGATTTTGAATTGCCAACCTTTAAGTTAATAGTCCAGTGCTTATTCTATAGTACCACCAGGGCTCCTTGTATATTGCTATTGTTATTAAGTGGCATTAAGTCAGTTCTGACTCAAAGCAGTCCTGCATAGGGTTTCCAAGAAGCAGGCTAGTGCGTTTGAACCTCCAACTTGAGATTAACAATTCAGGGCTCATCCTACAATGCCACACAAGGACTCCTTGTATATATGTACTTATATACATGTTTATGTCTCTCATCTATTAACCTATTAATATGCATGTGCTTTATTGGCAAGAATTATATCTTATATTCTTTCAACAGCACCAAGCATGCTGAGGGTATTTAATAAACATTAAGAAGAAAAATGTCATAACATGTTAGAAATTATTCAAAACAAAGACAGTGTATGAAAACAGAGCAGTGGTATTATTTATAAACACATTCCATTTAGCTCCTCTGAGGTAATGTAAAACAAAAGATGACTGTGTTTCTATGTTATGAAATAATAACAGGCACCAAAACAAGAAACAGTATATAACCAATATAGCAGCATTTTATAACTGAGTCAAAAACAATAGCAGATACATCAAGGCCAATCTTTGTCTTGCTGTTGTGAAGCGCTGTTGCGTCAGTTCTGACTCATAGCAACCGTGTATAGGGTTTCCAAGGAGTGACTGATGAGTTGGACTGGCCAATCACGTGGTCCACAGCTTTATTCCTCAACGCCAGGACTCCGATCTTTGCCTCGACACTATATAAGATAAGGCTCCTGTGTACTGTTACAGCACAAACATTCCATTCTACCTAGTGCCACAGCTCCAAGTACAGCTATGAGTAGATGAGCTTCATCTTTGGTTCCTAATTGTGTCACATTTTTGTGCTTTTCCTGCCTTACCGGTAGCACCTCACTTCTGCACCCAGACTCTGTACGATAAGCACTGGACTGCGAACCACAAGGTTAGCAGTTCGAGTCTATCCGCCTCTCGGAGAAAGGTAAGGCTTTCTGCTTCTGCAAATATGCACAGCCTAAGAAGCCCCATATAGGTTGGCTTTGAGTTGGAAAATCCGAAGGCACTTAACAACTCTTCCTCAAACAAAAGTGTGTTCTTAGGGAAGACTTTTATAAATGTTTATATTCAGGCATAAATGACTGATAAGATTCAAGGTCTTTGTTCTCATCAGGACAGAAAAGTATAAACTAAAGCCAAATAAATGAGCCCATCTTGATGTTTTTAAGCACCATCGAGTTGGTTCTGACTCACAGGGACCCTGTATTGGGGTTTCCGAGGAATAGCTCGTGGGTTTGAACCATCAAACTTGTGGTTAGCAGTCCAGTGGTGCTTATCCTACAGCACCATACCAGGAGTTCATAGTGGTGGTTGTTATGTACCGTTGAGTCAGTTCTAACTCATGGAGATCCTGGGTAGGGTTTCCAAGGAGCAGTTAGTGAGTTTGAGCCACCGACCTTGTGGTTCAAACCGACCTTGATGTCCAGTGCTTATCCTATAATGCTCTATAGTGCCTGTCTATTTAGAAAAAAAGGCTCATCACCAGAATTACTTTTCCCAGAAGCAGGAGGAAAACT